CCTAAACATATGTACCCCCATAATATGCTGATATAAAAAAAAGGAAAAAAAATGGAACAATAAAATCCAAAACCTGTAATTATTATAATGCTGTTAACAAAGAATGCACCTTTGGCATATTTTGTAGTAGCACAAAGGAACTATTCAGGGCAGATTTTCCCAAGAAGAGTTCAGATTTGTCCAGGTAATGGGTTATGATCTGATATGTGGTAAATTGGGAGAAACCTAACATTAGTTGAACACTTAATTAGGTTGGTGTCTTAGTCTTCTTGGGTTGCTGTTAACAAAATACCATTGCCTGGGTGGCTTGCAAAAAAGAAAATTATTGGTCACAGTTCTAAGTGCTGGGGAGTCCAAGATAGAGGTGGCAGCAGAAGATGCAGCTGCCTGGCTTGTAGACAGCTGCTTTCCCACTGTGAGCTCACGTGGACTTTCCTGGGTATGTGCTCGTGGAGAGTGTGTGTATGTGGGGGGGGGGTGAGAGAGTGTTTGCTGTCCTGTCTCTTCCTCCTCTTTTTAGGTCACTAATCCCATCATGGGGGTACCACCTCATGGCCTTATCTAAACCTAATTATTAACACCTCCCGAAGTTTCCACTTCCTAATACACATGGCATTCGATGTTAGGGTGTCAACATATAAATGTGGGGGTGCTGGGGACGGAACACAGACATGCAGTTCACAGCAGCCAGGTCATGGGGTAAGTTTGTGCCTTTTCTTTCCTCATTAGGGTACGAGGAGATTGGGATTTCAAATTAATAGGCAAAAACTGAGTTTCAGGGAGCTTAAAACATTGTGGGAGGTTGCTTTGTGTGAAGCTGCCACAGGTGTGCTAAGCCAGGAGTTTGCCTCAGTCTCTGCTCTTTCCCACCAGAGAGGTGGAAGGACCCTCACATATGTCAGGACTCAGTTTGAATTCTTGGATTTGAATCCTGCTTCTGTTACTTTAGTTGTGGGACTTTGGACAGCCCCTATTTCTATAATTCTAATGCCCAAGAATCCTAATGGGGCATGTTTCTTTTCAGCTCCAATGAGGACGAGGATAGTTCCTTCAATCCACAAATGGATACCTGGAGCCTACACTGGGCTCTGCCTTAGTTTGCACTCTGGGTGTCTGCAGTGGGCAGACAGACCCTTCCTTTCCCTCCCTAAAGCCCACTCTCTACTGAGGGAGATGGAAAAGTATTTAAAAACAAATTAAAAGGATAATTTCAGCCAGTCATGAATCCTATGAAGAAAACAGAAGGTGCATTTTAACTTGGGTCTGGGAAGGTCTGGATTACAGGACAAGGGAGGCATGTAGGGCTCTGGGGAGATAATATTCTATGCACAAAGAAGGGCAATTGCAGAAACTGCAGGAGGAGCAATACTGATCCTTCTAAGAAAAGGGCAGGGTTTCTGGTGTGTTCTGAGTAAAGAAGAGACTATTAGGAGATAAGAGGAAGGAGGGAGGCAGGGAAATAGAGATATCCCATCAGTGACAGAGGAGGAGGATAAATAATATCTCAGCACACAAAACTGCATACAAACTACAAAACTCATTGTGCACTATAAGTGTTGAAGATGAACTGAGAGGCAGAGTAATGAGGCAAAAGTCAGGAGAAGAGAAGGAAGGTGGATTGGGCTTTCCTACATATACATCGCTGGCTCGCTCTCAGAAATAGTGAAACTTTCCACTCTAAAGTATAATAAGATTATGTGTGTGTGTGTGTGTGTGTGTGTGTACATATATGTCTATAAAGAGATTGGGATTGGGGGGGAGTATTCCATATGTTCAGCATGGGTGAGTGGGTGTTCAAATGAAACTCTCAACTATTGCCTGCCTGGGTTTTGTGAGGCAAAATTTATATGCTTGGCAATAATGGTAGCCTTTTTCTGTCTCATTTTCTCAGTTTTTCTTTCTGTGTGTGTGTGTGTGTGTGTGTGTGTGTGTGTGTGTGTGTGTGGTGTGTCTTTGGGAACTGTGGGTACAGAATATTCCACCCCAGCCGGCAGCTGTATATCTTTCAAACAGTGGTTGCACAGGCCAAATCCCCCTCCAAATTATTTATGACTCCCATTGAAGCAAGCGGGATTCAGGCGCCAATGCGCGAGGTCGCCAATGGTCTCTTTGTTGGACACAGGTCATCAGGAGACGACTCTGGCTGTGACTGCTGTGTGAACCTCCGCTGCCGTAGAAATGGTTATGTAACTTTAAACAGTAATGACATTTTGCAGAAAAGTGCTTTTTAATTGCTATGTCTTCATTATTCTCTTTCGAAATTGCCCAGGAGATTCTGCCTCAGAGACAGCTCGGCATGTTCTGAGTTTCCATTTTTAAAGAGCAGCCAGTTTTGTGTTTCAGCTGCTCCCAGAAAACCCCCAACCCCAAACTTCATCTGTTTTCAGTTGCGTTAAATGGGGTAGGTAATGCTGCCTTTTGTATCCTTGCCAAATGGAGAAATGATTTGACGCAATTTTCTAAAAATGCTCTCCCAAAATTCCTTTTGGGCTGGGACCAAGAATAGAATATTTTATCCCCTACAAAAGGGAGCGAGAAAATGATGAGCCAGCTAGAAAAAAAAAAAAACAGGACTGAGAATATAGTCTATAGAGTTCCTTTAAGCAATGGAATCTTAACCCCAATCCATAGCCCCAGTTGCCTGCAGGGGATTGGTATCAGCTAAAAATAAGCTTTGCTCTGGAAGAGAAAATGGTGATATAGATAAAATGACTCAATAATGCAAACTCTGAGAGAATCGTAGCCTTGGTTCAGAAGGGACTTTACAGCTTGATTTGTTTTGCCCCACCTTTTGGTATCTGTATCCTACCCCTGGGCAGTAGCCCTTCCAAGAAACCGCTCAAACTCACAGGACCCCTTACTCATTGGCACAGAGCACACCCAGACTTACAACAGACCACAGTCCAGGGCCATAGCTCGAATGTCAGAGTCCCTTCCACACATCTTATGCACCTTCCTCGACAGCCCACCCACCAGTGCTGGTTCAACAGACACAGGATTCTAACTCCTCCTCCCTGTGCAAGCCTTCCAAATATCTGATGACTGCCTTCTGATTAAATACCCATAGCTATTGTTCCTTCATTTACCCTCAACTTTTTGTTAAACCTTAAAAAACTTTAATCAGGGGAGTGGCATCCTCATCATCACATCAAAAATAAGAACAGATAACATTTATTCTTGGCTTACTATGTGCCAGGATTGGTTCCAGACAATTTGCAGGGGTTCTTTCATTCCTTCCTCTCAATCACCCTCTGAGGGGGGTGTCTCCATTTTGCAGAAGAAGAAGTGGAGCCGAGTAATTTTCTGGAGGTGACCTAGGGAGCCAGTAGAGGAGTCCGACTGCAGCCGTGCCCAGGTCTGGACTGCGAGGCTGTGGTTTCCTGCATCCGCCACGCTGGAGGCACCGTCTGCTTTCCCACAATGCCCCTCTGAAAACATCCTTTTTTAGCTGTCCTACGAAGGCAGATTGAACTGATGGGGCTTCATTATTTGAAGAAAAGAGAGGGAAAGATTTAAAAAAAGACTTTAGAAACACAGCTGTGAGTAGAAAGGGAAAGAAATGCTGATCTTATTCAGCGAGTCCCTGATGAGTAGGATTAGGGGGTGTCCCTGAAGCATGAATGAGGCAAAACAATAACCCAAATAAGAATGCAGTTCTCTTTTACACCACGGGTAGTAAACCCATTACCTTATATGTATTGGAAGCTAAAACTGCTAGCTGTTCCAGATGAGGGGAAGATAAATGTCCCGGGTGAAAGTGCCTTAATGAATTAAGTTAGCCCAGACATGCTCTTCTATCCAGGTATCACAGTCAGCAGCCTGCTGTGCTAACATCTCAGGGGTACTAGAGTAGCGCCCATACCCTGATAAATCCTCCTCCATCATTGGCTGTCAGGATTAAGTCTTTGATTATTCAAGTCTAGAGAAAAGATCATGAGATGTGATCAAGAGGGCCCATCCTTTAACCATGGGCTAGTCATTCCCCCGTCGATGGGCCATGGCTTCTTTATTTCTAGAGCAAAGAAGGGAAAATTAATTACTTCTGATGTCTGTCCTTAGTGATAATCTAATTTTTATGACACCATGGTCCTATTAAATTATATTGCTCTGAGCATATCACTCTTACTCTTCACAGCTACCAGTATATAGCCACGAACCACCGGGTAATGTCAAAATCCCTTAGCATATAGTAAAGTCCTTTGCATTCGGGCCTCTGCCCCTCTCTGCATCCTGTTTTCCTACAGCACTGCACACCAGCCTGTCCAAGTCTATTTCATTCTCTAGGAACACCCAGGTACATTATATCTTCCCTCTTTTTAGAATGTCCTTCCTGTTCTCCCCTTAACATGCTGATCTCTGACTTGCTTTTCAGCCATCCCAAATTCTGTCTCCTCTAGGAAGGTTTCCCTGCTACCTAAACAGTGTTATTTGCAGTCTTTCACTGCTCAGTTTTCTTGCGTGGCTGTGCGGTCTATAGGCTGTTATGATGATGTGTGTCCCCGTCTATCGCTGCTGATGATATTGTAAACTCCCCAAGGCCGAGGATTGTGCCTTTTTAAAATCTCTATAGGCCCAGTGCCCAGCTCAGGAGTTGTGCTTCATAAATAGAGTTTATAAATATTTTAGGAGAGGAAAGGAAAGAAATGAAGGAAATAAGAAATGATGCACAATAGTGTTATGCTTTCAGTAAGGGTTTTCTCTCAAAATGGAAAAGGAATACACCATAGCTGGCTCTAGCCTCTGTCCTACCATCACAGGACAGCGTATGCACTTCAGAGATGGCCATGGCCATGACCTGAGAAGTTTAAGTAAAAGCGATGCAACTGGAGGCCTCACCGATTATGCCCTGTCTGGATCTAGGTAGGCCCAGAAATATTTTGGTTCCAGTGCACGGGGGGCAAATCTAGCAGCTTCAGATTCCCATGTATCACCTTTGGAAACTGCTAATGAAACACCTTTTTTTTAACCTTTCTGTTTCCCCTCCTTGCTATTCTCACCAGGTCTTCAGATAATCTTTCCTCAGTATCTGCAAGAGAAGTTTGTCCAGTCGGCCCTGAGCTACATCATGTGCAACGGCGAGGGGGAGTACCTGTGCCAGAACAGCCAGTGCCGCTGCCAGTGTGCCGAGGAGTTCCCGCAGTGCAACTGCCCCATCACCGACATCCAGATCATGGAGTACACGCTGGCCAACATGGCCAAGTCCTGGGCCGAAGCTTACAAGGACCTGGAGAACTCAGGTAGCTCCTCACTAGTGCTGCTGCATGAATGGCCTTGAGCCTAGTCTGAAAAGGGAACTAATCCAACTGGAATTAGGAGGACTGTGAGGGAAAATCCAGTGACCCCCAACTCTTCCACTTTGGAGGGTCCAGAGCCAGGTATAGTGGCTGTCACGGCACGTAGGCACTCAGTAAATCTCTACTGGGTGAAATAATGAGGAGCATAATCCAGTTTGTGGTCTATAGGATGTATTGTCTCTGTTGTACCCAGAAGACAGAGAGAATGCATCTGCACAGGAAGTCTCTGGAGAGAGGAGAGTGAAAGGTAGTTGTATTGATTCCTGGGTCTGTGTGTGTGTATTTGTGTGTGTGTCTGTCCCTCTATAAAATGATAGTCAAACACACATCTCCATGTGTGTGTGTGTATATATATATATATATATATATATATGCATGTGTATATATGAATGTACATATAGGTATAAATATTTAAAGAATCCACAGACTGTTGAAACTGGAAGTCACTTCTCTGGGAACTTAGTTGTTTTCTGCTTTTCATGGTTCGAGAAAATGAGTATCAGAGAAGGAGAGTCAATCATCCAAGGTCATTAAATGGGTGAAGTCCAAAGTTGGATCTTTGCCTTCATGGAGCTTTCGTTGTTTTTTTTTCAGCAAGCCAGGCATTACATAACCATGTAGATGATTATGAAATTACAAGGGTACATGTGTAAATAAGGGGGCGCTGCTGTGAGCACATGACCACAAGGTGGTCAGGGAAGACCACCTTGAGGGAGAGCAGAAGTTCAAGTATCTGACTGTGGTCAGGTGTCAGACAGTGAGTTCAGACAGACCCAGGGGAGGTGCAGGGGGCCTGGGAGAGAGATGAGCATGATGTGGATTAGGGAGATGGCACAGGTAGTAAAAACAGGAAATGCACAGAGATACATTAGAAAAATTGGCAGGGATCTATGTTAGATTGGCTATTAGAATTGAAGAGAAGAGGGGTATTGGGATGTTACCTATGAACTATTTTTTTTTTTTTTAGATATGCATGTTACATAACTTAATGGATGTTGGTATCCTTCGCTGAGCTAGAATCTCCTGGAAGGTGTGGAAAGGGGACCACGTGCTCACTTTTAGACATGCCAAGCTTAAGAATCCTTAAGCCTTCCAAGAGGAGATTCCAAGCAGATAGTATATAATACGTGCTCAAACATCTGCTAGGTAAATGGACCTATGCATAGAGCATTCCTGTTTTAAAACAACTCCATAGTCCTTAAATCTGTTACAACAACCATATTCAAGTAAACAGTGATATTACTGTTGTATAGAGGAGGGAAGACACCAAGACCCAGTGTCTTCCCCAGGGTTACACAGTTAGTAAATGACAGCATTGGTAATGGAGTCCCTGATTTATAATTCAGTGCTTATAACAGCTTTTGTAACTTATTAATTCTACTTCACTCACCCCCCAGGCTTTAGGTTCCCTCATCTGATAAATGAGAGGACATGTTTGTGTTTTTAATATTTGAATTTATTTAAGTCTTTAGCCAAGAAACTCTTTGATCAAACAAAATCTTACCTTGGAGCCACTGTGTACCACAGATAAAAGCAGAGTTCTATGAAGCAGCATTTGCAAACAACTGAGTTTCCATAAACTCTAAGCCCCAAATCAGCTTTGGGAGCCCAGGATGCATCGGGAATTCTGCTCTTACAGGGTCATGGAGCTCCAGTGGGACTGCGGGTGCCTTGTGAACCTGCACTCATTAGTCCATTTAAAATCCTGAAAGTCCATAAAAGAGATAGGTTCATGATGCAAACATATTGTGACCATTATTTGTCCCCAGATAAAAGAGGAATTTAGGTAAACAGTGCTTTTGCAAAGAGATTCTACTGATTGGTAAAAAGCAGAAGAGGATGCAGGCTGTATGCTGAAGGAGTTGGGACCTTTAGAATACAATTCTTATTCCCATGGAAGATAAACCACTTTGAGTCGGTGGGTGAGCAAACTGAGAGGAAGATAAACCACTTTGAGTGGGTGGGTGAGCAAACTGAGATGTTGCCAGAAAACCTGACCAGAACAATGAAATGGTTTATTTCATGCTTTCTCCCTATAACGCATACATTCCCTCTCAATATCCTGTACTTGTGCATTTGAAATGGTTTTATTCTTTAAGACAAATCCATCCATCCAGCTATGCATTCATCTGTGGCTTGTGTTCATTTTCAGCCTTTAACTTTAATGACTCAGCCCTGGATAATTTGGAGGAATTCATGACCATCCCAAAGTAAAACCCTGTGATTCCTGATTGTTAGTGGCCAAACAGGACCTACTTTCTACGCATCAATGGCAGTTTATACTTCCCTTCTTTGAGGAGGGGGTTGTACTCTACTTTTAGTTAAGAAAGTTAAAGCAATTAACTTTTAAATTCTATTTTCTTATCGGACCCAAATTTGTATTCAACAGAAGCACTGTTAGCCCCCCTTAAGGGCAGCAGAGCCGTCTGCGAGATGAGCTGCATGTCTTACATGGGAGGACAGTCAGGCTGGCCCAAAGTGCACAGCGTCTTTAAGGCCTGTCTCCTGGTACCAGCCAGCTCACTGACAAATCAACCAGTGCAGAGTCCCACGTTACCCTGTGCATCTTCCACTAGCACCCATTGAGTGCTTTCTCTCTATCAGGGACTATTTAGGCAAATATAGTCCTATGTCACACTTTCAACCTTTGGACTAGATACGATTATGCCTGTTTGACAGATCAGGAAACTGAGGCCTTGAACAAATAAGGGTCCTATAGCTGTTTGGTGGTCAAAATGTGACTTGAATTCTTGCATGTCTAACTGTCCATAGTGAAGGCCCCAAGGTTTGCTAGGAGTCAGAGACTGCTGTTTTCATCACCTTGTTATGCATGTTTTTCTCCTAATATACTGAGCCTCAGGGTGGTCCTCTTTATATGCTGAGAGGAAAAGTAATATCCTAAGTTAAGAACATAGGATTTGACCATGGCCATTTGAAGTTAGCTAACTTTTTTGTGCCCTAGTTTCTATAAAATGGAGGCACTAAAAGTACCTAGCTCATAGGTTTGCTGTAAAACTCAGTTATACGTGTTAGGCTGTTAGGTCTGTGCCTGGTGCCTGTCAAGAGCTATGTAAGTATTTTTTAAATAAAACGAATGCATAATAAACCTAAAATCCCTATGTAGGTTTTATAATGTGAAATGTAAGCATTAGGCTGCAGATGTACAAGGGCTGTCTGGAAAGTATCCAGCCATTGCATCCATGTATCCATTATTGGATACTTTCTGTACAGCCCTTGTATATATTGTGCAATCCACCCATTGGTCTGTTTTCCGACAAAATGATCAACCCCTGAATTCTATAATTTTCCCAGTAGTCAGAGGAGGATGATGGAGATGAGGAGATAGGAGTGTTAGATTTGAAAGCAAGAGCTCAGCTCTTACACCTTGATCTTGTTGCTTATCAGCTGTGCTACCTTCAGAAAAGCATTTTACTACTTTGGGCTTCAGTTTTTCTGCACAGAGAACAGGGAAGCTGAACTAGATAATTTCCTAGGCTGTGTCAAGTTGTAGCCTTACATGCTGATGCTGAAACACAACATCACACACTGAGGCAGAAACTCACCCGGGAGACACCAGAGTTTGTCATCGTCTCTCAAGCTGCAGTTTTCCAAAATGTGAGATGATGCTGAATAGGACACACACACAGCTTCAGATAGTGCTGGATCACTGAGTGGGGAGGCTGATCCATGTTTTTTAGTTGTCTGTCAAACAAACCTGCAGATTACATCAAAGAGAAAGTTTCAGCTTGGTGCTAACATGCCTTTAACACCTCTGGTACACTTGCTAATTTCCTGTATTTCAAAGTGATAGCAGGCATGGAGGTTTGATCATTTAGCAGGCAACAGTATCTGAGTAGAATTTACTAACATTGTTTTTATCATATTTATTTTTATAGCTGCCAGTCTACTGAAGGCATGCAATAGTGACTTTCTATATAGAATTGGATAAAAAGGTTTTTAATTTTTAAGTAAAAAATTGTGATTTGATTCAAAGAAAATGTTAAGTAAACAGAACGGTATGTGAATATTATTATAACATTGGCATTCCAAGGACAGAAGTTTTGCAAGCCTGATTTTAAGCAAGGATGCAGTATGCATATTCACTTCATTTAAAAACACAGTAGATTTTGTCCTGTCTAGTAGGGACAGGGCAGGCCAGTGCAATGTTCTATGGACCTCAGAAAAGGTAGTCTTTTGTTTGTTTGCTAGTTTTTTAGGATTTGCAGGCCTGCTATATTGGCAGGTGGGGCTAAGTATTTCAGGCAACTTCAGATGGGGGCTATCATGTTTAGTCCTTCTCTCTTGGCCCTTGTCTTTTGCTAGATGAGTTTAAATCGTTTATGAAGCGTCTCCCCAGCAACCACTTCCTGACCATCGGGAGCATCCATCAGCACTGGGGCAACGATTGGGACTTGCAGAACCGCTACAAGCTCCTGCAGAGCGCCATGGAGGCACAGAGACAAAAGATCCAACGCACTGCCCGCAAGCTCTTTGGCCTTAGTGTACGCTGCCGCCACAATCCCAACCACCAGCTGCCTAGAGAGAGGTAAGTGCCGCCACCACCTCCAGCTCTGTGGGCACCTGCCTGGCAGTAGCTGAGGTTTGCTTGCTGCAGAGGTAAATGCAACACAGATGGTGCATTTTGGGCTGGCACCAAGCTACACCAAGGGTTCTACCTTCAGTTTTATTTAAAGCCAAGAGATCCATTCTTAGAAAGAATGAGGCCATGTCATATTCACCTAGCAGGCTCTGTGTGAGCCACACATTTATATATATGTATATACATACACATACATATGTATGAATGATTGTTATACCCTGTTGCACAGACCAGGAAATTGAAGCTCAGAAAGTTCAAGTAATTGGTGCAAATCTACAATGTAAACCAGTGGTTCTCAGCTGGAGATGACTTGGTCCCCAGGGAACATTGGGAATTGTCTTAAGACATTTTTGGTTGCTGTAACATCAGAGGAAATACTGTGGCACTGGGCAGTTCCCATAACAAGTAATTATCTGGCCCCCAAAGTCAGTGTGGCTCGGGTTCAGCAATTCTGATGTAAGGGAAAGTGACAAGATTCCACCTAAATCTATAAATCTAAATCTTATCCTCTTAACCATCCTCTTCTATTGGTAGTCAAAATTTCAAATCCACTATACCCTCCTAAGCAGTCCTTTCAACTTAACTAAGTCCACCTATGCACTTTTTCCTCATCTTCCCTCTGTGCACATCTGTGCCCTGATCTTCTCTTATTAAAATGATATCAGTCATATTGGATAAGGGCTGACCCTCGATGACCTCATTTTAACTTAATTGCCACTTTAAAATCCTTATCTCCAAATACAGTCACATTCTGAGGTTCTGGAGGTTGGGACTTTGATGCATGAGTCTGGGGGCAGGTGTAGTTCATCTCATAACACCCCAAAAGTTGGCTTTTGATCACATCTTTAGGTGAAGAAACTGTGCATCCTAAGAATTATCCAGGCTAAATGCAAATCTGGTTGAGGAAGGCAGCGTTTAACCATTATCAGACTTCCAACAGATACATCTGTCCATTTTGTTGATTGTCACCTCAGAGAATGGAAGTGTAAGGTCCACAGGTGCAGAGACCCTGGGTCATTTACTAAAAGTGCGCAGAATCTGTAGGTCGCAAAGCACAGAGCATTTATCAGGTAGGCCAGGTCCAGGGAAGACTCAGGAGGACTCGAGGAGGAGAGGAGCTGGACAGGCGTTAGAAGGGAGGAAGGAGGGACAAAACTGAGGGAAGAACACTGGACAGAGTCAGGGGCCTGGATCTGAGACCCTGGCATACCAGGGCTGAGCTGTGTGACCCTGGCCAGGTCGCTTCACTATTCTGAGCACAGGTGTCCACATCTCTTCTCTCCTTGTGCAAGCTGCCAGGTGTGGATGGCTAGAAACACCCTGCCACCACTGAGCCCTTCAAAGAAAGCTCACAGTCTTGCCCCTTCTCCTTCTGACAGGAGAAAACTTGCCCTAATCACAACATTCTTCTCCCCTGGAGAGGGTGTCTGTAAGCCCACCATGGGCGAGTCACTCAATTATATTAATTTAAGAGTATTGAATGCTGGGTCCTGGCGGAGGCAGGGAAGAGTACAGGAACTGAGCTCTGTGACTCATTCCTCAGAAGCCTTCCCAGGAGAGCTGAACTTCCTTGGCCTGGCTGGGGGCTGCTTCCTGACACCTGCATCTGAGGCTTTAATGAGCATTTCTCACACCACAGGGCACCTCTCCGCCATGGGGGGTGTCAGACAGAGGTGCTAACACTGGGAACCTTGGGCCACCTCTAGCTGAGCTGCTGCTATTTGCAAATGAACTGATCCCACGGCTTGCATGTGTCTGCTTGCTGAGGTCTGTGGGAAGTGTGGGCACAGAGCAGGTGCCATAGGACAACAGGTGCTCGAAATTTTTACTTGTCCCAGGAAGGGTGGCATTTTTGAGGCAGAGTGGGAGAGGGAAGGAGGGAAAGAGCACCAGGCTTCCGCTGCGCAGGGACTGGGTCCTGATCCCGGCTCCATTGCTTATCAGCCACAGAGCTTTATGGATGGCCTTGCACCTCATTTGCAAAATGGGATAATAACAGTTGCCTTCAGGTTAAGTATGAAAATTAAGATTTTAAAATTTAAAGAACCTAGTAAAGTGCCTGAATCAGTTAAGAGGGAGGAAGGGAGAGAAGAAGGGAGGAGCTGTCACTTAGTATATGTATTCTAAAGGTCAAGCTCTGTTCTTAAGCATCTTATATGAATTAACTAATTTCCTCCTCACTACAAGCTTATGAACTAGGCACTTTTACTATTTCTATTTTACAGATAAGGGAACTGAGGCACAGAAAAGTTAATAAAGTGCCCAAGGTCGATAAATGTTCATTAATTTATTGTTACCCCAAAGAAATGCTAAGAGTTAGATTTAGTGAGTGGTTGACTATAGATAATTAGTACTTGGCTTCCAGGCTTGTTAGAAACTCCATATTGGACTGGAAGGCAAAAGAGTAAGTATTTTGGTTATCTACTGATGCAAAACAATTCACCCCAAAACTTAGGAGCTCAAAACAACACTGTATAATTATCTCTAATGATTCTGCAGGTTGACTTGATATAGCCGGGAGTAGGGTGCAGGGGGGAGGGGGGGCTCTCTCAAGTTGGCTGCGGCTGGCATCATCTGGGGGCTTGACTGAGGCAGACCTCCAGACTGACTCACTCCTAGGGGTAGCGGTTTGTGCTGGCTGTCAGCTGAGAGTGCAGCTGGGGGTGTCAACCAGAGTGCTACACACACCCTCTCCGTGTGGCTGGGCTTCTTGCAGCATGGCAGCTGCGCTCAGAGAGGGAGCATCCTGAGACCAAAGGAAGCTGTACAATTTATTGTTTACAACTTTGCCTTGGAAGTCAGAGAGCATCGTTTCCACCATATTCTGATGGCCAAAACCCTAGCCTAGATTGAAGGGTGTGGATACTGCAAGGTGCAGTTCATTGTGGGGTCTGGGAGAGTCTATTTTGGAGATTAGGTACCATAGGAGAAATTGAGTATAGTTGGAGCTGGAGGAGACTATCCCAGTTACAGAGGAAATGAGGTTAATAGTAATAGCAATAATAATAACAACAACAGCAATCACAAAGCAGCTATGGTGACAGGCAGTGAAGCTGGCTATGTGTAAAGATTCTGGAATTAGACTGCCTGGGTTCAAATCTCATCTTTGTTACCTGCTTACATGTTAACTGTGAGGGAACTTACTAACATCTTTGAGCCTCAATTTTCTCATCTGTAAAATGGAGCTAATAATAGTGCCTACCTCATAGGATTGCTGTTTTAAGGATTGGGTGCTTTAACCAACATAGAGTCCTTAGAACAGTGACTGGCACCTGGGAAACATTCAAGACACGTTAGCTGTTTTTCTTCTTAATTGTTTTTATTTTTCCCCAAGCACTGATATTTTGCATATAAATTCCTTGGCACACAGTAATCCCCCAGTGAGACTGAGTATTGATGATGACGACATGTTTTTTCACCTAATCCTCATGTTCACTCTATGCAGTAGGTGCTATTGGATCTGTTTTATAGATGAGGGAACTGATGAGACATAACTGTAATTAATTCATCCAAGGTCACTTAGCAGGTTAAGTAGCAGTATTAGAATCATGTTGTTGACTCCACTGGTGGGCTTGGTAATCCAAGATCCCTGTGTAGAGCAGCAAGAGCCCACATCGTCTGTGTAGTGTGCAGTGGCAAAGAGAGGTGACCATCCTGTGGTTGGCAAGTGCCGTGAGACCAAAGGCAGGGTTCACTCATCAAGGTTGGGGGGAGTAGACCAGGACTCCAGTCTGCTGTGCTGAGATTCGGGAAATGGGCCCAGTTGTGGAGCCCTGAATCAACTCAACTGTAGAGCCTCATTTTATCCCACTTTATGAACGGAGAAATTAAGGCATAGAGATTTTAAATGACTTGATGAAGAACATACAGCAGATAGGAGGCAGGATTCAAATCCAGGCAGAATGCCTTCTTGTAACCTTAATGCTATTCTACCTGTCCCTGAGACAAGATGACCCAAGGTGTTTCGATAACTTGCCAAGGCTAAACACTGCATCTCATGGTAACGGAAATTGCTTCTCATTGCAAAAGGTAGAGGAGGGAGGGGAAAAATGGAAAATAAGAAAGAAGATAGGATGGAAGGGAGGGAGGGAGAAAGGAAAGAATAAAAGCACAAAAATCATCTTGGGCAGTGCTGAATTCAGCAGTCTTCTGGGCAATTCCATAAATGTTTACTGACCACCTGGTCTCCCAGCCCTGTGCTAGACACTGGAAGGCAGTCAAAGAAACAAACAAGCAACAGTGCCTTTGTTTTCAAAACATCATTATCTAGCTTCAGGACATTGTTCTGTGAAGCAGGAGACCTGAGTTCAAGTCCTGGGTCTGCCCTGTGTGGGCTACACTAAGTCCATTATCAGTCTGCAGCAGATGCTCCAGAGAGCACTGGGTGCAGGAATCGTGTCTCTCAGGCTTGGGATGCAGGTTGAGTAGTGAACAATTATACCTCGCCTTTACCTAGAGCAGCTTTTCAGCTGCTTTCTCTTTATGGGATTTCTGAATTAAAATTCATTTGGGAAAATCAAGGTGTGTTTTTTTTTTTTTTTCCTTTTTTTTTTTTCTTAAACAATTTGAAAACAATAGAGCTCAATTATCTCTGAGGTCCTTCCTGACTCTAGGAGAAATAACATTCACATAGAATGAAAATAAGAGCTTAATTCAAAAATATTGATAGAAGGTCAGTAATTGAATCTTTGAGCAGTATTTCTTTCAGATGATGCTAATTAGTCAATTTTAATGAGTAGCATATAGTTCAAACTAAAATCTTTTGTCTGATAATATGATAGCCTTTCAACTAAGTCTTCCAGAATCTACTCTGATCACTTTCCAATCTACATTCCAGGAAGTAGTCAGAATTATTACTTCAGAGGCCAATTCAGCCTTGTCACATCTCTATTGTAAACATGTTGGTGACTACTTATTGCTTTTAGGAAAAAAAGCAAAATATTAAG